ATTAAAATTTTTTATTAAAAAATATTATAAAATTAAATAAATAATATAAATAATATAAAAATAATCCCGTGCAGCACATGGGTTAAAGAAAATTCAAACTATAATCATTCTTAATACGTAAGATATAAATGAGGCATCATAAAATAAGGAAAATTAAGTATTTTGACAATTCTTTTTCAAATTTTTTTTGCACCTAAGTCTTTACCAACTTTTTTTTTTTTTAATTGCTTAACTTGTAAAATTTTATTTTTTGGTTTTTGTTTATTATCCCCCTTCTCATTTTCAATTTCTTGTCATTTCTCTCAATTCTATTTAATTTTATTTCTTGACTTCTATTATAAACTATATATTTTGATATGCTAATATAAGTGCTAAAATCAAAGTTACAAAGTGAAAATTATTTGAATGAGATTTTAGTGCAATTGAATGCAAATCCTAAATATATGTGATGTAATATTGAAAGTATATATGATTTTAAAGAGAATATGAAGTAGAATTTATATTTAAAAAAACAAAAAATGTTAACAATGGTATAATATGAATAAAATAAGAAACATTATATTCTTGAAAAAAAAAAAACAACAATAAAGAAACACAATATCTTGATATGATTGATTTCTATGTAATTCATATATTTCTTATTTAATGTATAAATCAACATTATTATTAGTTTGTTAATTCACATCCTATTGGTAGAGTTTCCTTCTTAAAACAAAAAAAATAATAATAATAAACATTAATAATCTATAAAAAAAAATGATTGCAAAAATTTCAAATATATTAAGTTACAAAATTCTGTCAAAAGAACAACTATCATATATCTATAAAACATTCATAAAAAAGAATAATTAATAAGACTTATAGGAAAATTTGTTTATACAACAATATACATACTTTAGTGTAATATCCCAAAATTTCTAGAATATTAAAGTTGAGTTGGTGACTAATTTGTGAGGAAATATTATTAATGGCCTTAATAATAGAAACTTTCAAAGTTCAGGGACTTAGAAGAAAG